GCCACGCTCGCATGTTAATTTTTTTATGAAGAATGAGCAACCATATCACGATGCCCCCTCGAAATATCGGGGAGTTGCCAATCGGTTTTGATTCGAAATCCACGGACAAGAAGCCTAGACTACGCTTCAACGAGCATCACCCGTTACCGTCACCACTCCCGCACCGAGCGACACCCACTGCCACGACCAGATATAACTGGAGCCGGTGGCCAGATTGACGGCAGAGGCATCCATGTGTAAAGTCCTCTAGGTTACACCCGGCCAGCGCTGATTCACTGACCGGTCGGGCGTTACACGCACATCTCGAAGGATTCTAGAGGACTTGGGTAGCGAATATGGAGCAATTCGTCCACCACGACCTTCTTTTCCCAGACACCCAAACTGTATAACCCCTATATCTGACCCGACGGGGCGTGACGGCGACGTACTCTAGCACTGTAGTAAGGGATTAGGAGTAAGAGTGAAGGCTAGCAGTAACCAATGGTGATGTGGTACCGTAAAAAAACGGGCAACCGCCACCGAGGATGTTTACTGCGACTTATCATAACGACAGAACTGTGGACTGATAAACGTAGAGCATAGCAGGATCTCGATGTTCAACACTGGGGATGTGAAAGACGTTCGATAGCTGCTCCAGCCTTACCCGACGTGCCCGAGTCCCTTAGTCGAAGAGCAAGCGTCAATATTTCAGAGAAGGTCGCGCTCGAGAAGTCAGAACGGCCGGCAGTATGACGGAGGGGATCGCCGAGCAGCTCAGTGAGAGCCAATCATTACCGGGACGGTTAGCGGCGAGGATCTCGATGGGCGAGAGCTTCAAATCCATCGGGCCCAGTAAATTCGGACGCAGAGGTGCCGCAAAGTGGCGGGGAAAGCACCGGGTCGGTCAGAGAGGTTTCGGGGATCAGAGGGGGGCAGGAGAAAAGACTCGGCGTGCTGCTATCTTCTCTGGCCTCTATTAGGCGTTCCGATGATGCTCGAGCCCGGGACTATCATCGCTAAGTTTGAGGGCGCGTGAACCTTGACACTCATGTTGAGTGGGAGAAGGGAGATAGGGACTCGTCATTGTGGACAAGGTGTCGGCCGATAATTCTCTCCCTGGGATTGAAGGAGGCCATTAGATGTCTGGTTGGAAGCCGTCTCTAAGGTAGTATAACATCATTCATGACGTTTCAGAGGATGTTTCCCCAGACCTCCACGACCCCTCGGCCCTCATCAAAGGCCCATCGCAGGCGAGACCGATGTCATTATGCGGGCCATTCGTTCATACTGCGTGGTCTAGCCGTTAGGACGGCTCCAACCGTGGCCGAGAGTTGAGGACGCAGGCACGCAGGGGCGAAAGCACATTGCAGCCCATACCTATTTACCAGCTGTAATTCAGGGGTCGTCGCTGAGTACGGTATGCTGTCACGGACGACCATCCGCCCAAAGTCGGAGGATTGAGATCTGGTTGTGTGTGGCAGCTCTTCGGGCATAGCGGCCGGTAGAGATGAGGTGAGGTGAGAGGCATGGCGTCATCACGTGTGATGGCATACCTTTGACGGTAGCGCAAAGAACAGTTCGTTCATATTATCACTTTGAGGTATGTGAGCTGTTCATTCTCTTGTGGTCCGGGTCAGACAGTGTCAGGGTCTGGAACCTTGGCGCGGCCCTGAGTCTCCATTCGAGGCTGAGAGGAGCTCACGGAGAGTGTGGATAGTCATAGTATGATGCAGGTGGCGGGAACTGCTTCATGGGTGCTCCCATACTTAGACGGGAGAGGCTTTTTTCCCTCATTGTCAGCCATCGTAAGCGTCGCACAATGATAGGGAAGCTGTGGCAAGGGGTGAAGCGAAAAAGAAGAGAATCTAGCTCTAATCGTAGCTAGGTGTGCATGACAGACAATGCAGCCGTGGCCGAACGAAGCGAGACGGGAGCCGCATTCTAGCTAGCAAACTTGCAGATCTGAAGCTCTGGGAGAGAAAAGGGTTTCTTTCCCGCCTCGTGGAACTCGGTCTAAGCGGGCTGTCGACGTAAAGAGACGTAGAAAGACGTAACTTGTGGTGCTGTCTGTGGTGCTATGAGGTCGTCGCGCGTATCATTCCTTCCTGTGACGGAATGGACCAGCCTTTGAGCCTTTGAGGGAAAAGGGGGGCGTGTCTGTGGTGTGTGACGGAGCAGCTTGTCAAAACGTTACCAGGGAGGGAAGGGGGAAAATGGAAGAAAACGCTCGCTCCAACGTTATGATTGGCTCACTGGGCCAGAAGCAGGGGGGGATCCGACCGTCGGACCAGGGGTGCAGAAGTGCGAATGACATCATAGGGCGCCGGGTTAGTGGCGCAGCGTGACTTCACACGAGACTTGATTGGCAAGACTTAACGACACACCAACCTCCAAAGAGCTCCAACGACGTAGATTGAGGCGAGGCCGACACGGACAGAGAGGATGGAAGAGCTGCCTTCCGTCAGCCTTGACGTCTGTGTGTCCCATCCAGCCAGCCCCAAAGTCTGTCGTCTGCCTAACAAGCTACGGCCGGTTCGAGGTCTGTCCGTCACTACGGATACGTCCTGTCCACATGCATCCATTCGTGGACCATCCCCCATGAGAGCATCCATCCCTCTCGCGATCCCCCCGGCCGTCTATCTTACGTTACAGTTTGCTGCGTATCGCCTATCTTCCGTCAGAGCTGTCTCGCCGCTGCTCAAGGGAGGCAATCCATGCTCCAAGGGGGGTTCTAGGCCATCAATGATCAAACTACAAACGCGAAAACCCGCTGTTTCGGTTACTCTCCTTCAACGACAAAGTGTTTTCTCTCACGTCAGATCTCCCCGGCCTTTCAACCCCAGCGTGTATCGGAGTTTTAGTTTGTAGACCCCTGACTCTTGCACTGCTTGTGAAATCTCTCACCTGAAGAGATATGTCACCAATTTCTCGGTGAGGGTGCAACGAACCTTGTCTACTCCTCCGTGACCCGGCTCCGTGATATCGAGAGGCCGAAAGTTGTTCAAATTTCCCTCATTGTTGATCTTGGCACCCTGCCGGCTCACTCTTCGACTCTGAATAGCTTCGGCATGGGCCAGCTCCGGTAGTCCAGGTCAAGTGTGGGAGGGCGTGATGGGGCACGTCAAGATCCCCCCTGACATGGGAATCATGGGAATCGACGCAGAGGCCTTTGATGGATGGGGTTGCCACCGGGGAGAAGGGGGCAATTCACATCCTCATCAATTTCTCGGAGGAAGGGGGATGGGAAATCGAGGCCTAAGAGTGCCGAAGTCTAGTCTCGCCGCTCTCGCCGCCATGGCAAATTGAGCAAATTCCCATGCCGACGGAGGATGGTGGGCATGAGGGCATCATGGAAATTTCTGTCAGGTACGTTCCTGGTGTTTGGGCACGCATGGTCACGATCTGGACAATATTCCCACTGACATAAAGATCAAACCAATGACAGCTCTCGAAGAGGGTAGAGAACCGGGGGCCTAGCAGTTCCAAAAAGTTGCTGAATGGCTTCAGATTTGGCGGCTAACCTTCACAACTCTTGTTTTGTGGCGGGATCCGTGCTTTCTGCCTTGACGGCGTGGTGCCCGCCCCCCGGCACAGACCTGGACGACTGGACGCCCAGTTGCAGCTGTTGTGGCCCCTGTGGGTTGGTGAAGGCAAGCCGCAAAAAGGAAGGAAGATGGGACACTGGGCGGACCCACTGGCAGCAACGTCCACACCCGGGGTCCGGCCGACGTGGACGCTTCGGCCAATGACGTCTGCTCCACCCGCCGATCTTTGACGACAAGTCTTGCTTGGATACTGCTTGGCCGCGCCGTTGCCAGCCTTCCTCACACACACACATTATTGCTACTCTTAGCAAGACAAGCACCACATCCTCTTCTTTCCTGTCATTGAATCTCTTGCACTAGGGCGGCTCTGGTCAAGTGCCAGTAGCGCGTGTCTTTAATGTGAACACGCTTCTTTTTGCTGGCTTGTGACCCCCCGGGCTGGACCCCCATCGTCGGTCGTTGCGCAGGCTGCTTGCTTGCGGATGGCTACTTGTCCGTACGCTCGCTTGCTTGATTCGAGAGTTTTCATGGCATGTCCCCCGTTCCCTTGGGCGGGAAAGAGGTACTATGCAGCCGTGGCAGCACAATCGTACAACGAACGTGCCGACCCTCCATCAGAGTTGGGGAGGTTTCAAGCTTTCGATAATGCATTCCTGTAAGCTCATAGGGTGGGTGGCCAAAATATCAAGGGTCCAACACACCTTTGGCGTCGGGATGGGCACGATGTTCGAGACAATCCTATTCGCTTGCAGTCTGGCCATGTCTATCTCTACGTAGTGATAGTGCATGGATCGGAAACCCCTCAAGCCTCTTTTCTCAGGGTCTCCCGTCCGGTCCAGAACCTCCAAGGGTAAGAATGAGAGACAAAAGGAGAAGGACGGGAGTGATCGTCGCTGTCTTTGTCCGAGATTCGGGAGGGGGAACATTTCGACATGTCGATAGGTATCCTGTAGCTCTCTTCAAGGAGCGAGAGGAACAAGCTGCCCGTACGGAGTATGTGTGTGGCTAATGATGACATGCCCGGTGACTTTCGGTCTGGACATCTGATCAGCAGGGTCTTTCCGTTCTCGACCGTCTCCCGCACCCATGAACCACCGCTACCACCCTTCTTTTTTGGCCCTGCAGTGTATCACCGTACCGCTTACTGCATCATCAGCCCTTTCCGTGGCAATAACTGAGCAGTGGAGGAGGTCTGCTTGATTGGCCACTCGCGCCCCAACCCCGGCCCAGTTACGCCATATCGTGCAGACCTCACCCGGGGGTAGAGCAGAACGCTAAGACGCCGTCAATCACTGCCGATCCCTAGCGGATTGAGTGTAGGCGAGATATGCAACAGCTCCTCCTTCGCTGAGTGGGAAGGGAAGGGATGAGGGGGTGAGGAGAAAGGAACGGTGCCTGCTTTTGCTCTGCTCTCTAGTCTCTGCTTTCTCTCGTGTGCTCTCTCACACACTCAGACCCCCCCCCCCCCCCACCCCCCCCCCTTCGACCTCTACCTTGGAGAAGGGGAGGGGGGTGTACCTTAGCGTAGGTCCCAGAGCTTGCAACACCCCCTAGTGACGGAGGACCCTGTGTTTTGCCTGATGGGCGGCCGGTTTGCTCACCACCACACAACCCCGTCCTGCCCAACTTTCCCCTACGTCTGTGTTCACCTCTTCTCCACGACAAGCCTTGCACCGACCCTTTTCGCCCCTCTTATTTTCTTTTATAAACCCAGGACCATTCCTGCCATCCACCGTTTCTTGAAAGCCCGTTTCATCAGCATCCAGCTACAATAACTACAACCTCACCGTTCTCAAAACATTCTCAAGCTCTTATACACAAGCAGCTCTACCACTTATCTTCGACGTAACTCATCAAGCAACTCTCAATACTCCTTACCAAGTCTATACGTTAAGCCTCTCAACAGCGGCTTACCAACAAACAAAACCACAAACACTTCTAAACCGCATATATGAGCCCTTCCACCATGCCCGCTCGCCAGGACGCCTACTCTGTCTCCATCCCCATCTCTCCTCCTCCTCCATCAGATCTCTCTACCTACATGCGCTCAATGCACCAACACACTAAGCGCCAAATGGAGGCTGCCAACCGCTCTTCCACCAGGAGATCCGGCGGCCGCACAAGCTACCCTTCTATCAACGGTCACCACTCTTCATCAAGCCACGACTCATCGTACTAAGACAACAATCGATAATTTGAATTGTTTCTACAACCTGGCCCCGCTTCACCGGGGTCTTGTCTCTATACCAATCATCACGATCGATGGGAGGGTAACTTCATTTTCAGCGACTGCTACGAACAGCAGATAACAGAGCCCATGCGATTTATGAGATCGTAGCGCGATGAATTCACAATTACGGCAACATTAGCATTTGGCGCGAGAGAGCTTGTTTTTACAATGGCGGGTTTTGATTAGGAGGGCAATGTTCCTCAGGCGTTGGCGGTTTAAAGGGTTTCGGGAGACATGAATTCGAGACGTCGAAACTTTCTCCCATGATTTATGATAGGAACGAATAAATCGTTACAACCTCTACACGCTTTACCGAGTCTAAGAACTCTTTAATCGTGAATTTATGACAGTGACTGCTCAATTCTCCCAACAGAGTGAAATGACGTGCCATGTCTAGCCGTCAAAGGTTTCCCTGAACTATAGCCATCATGGGCCATGACAGAATGTACCGCTCCTACCCTACTCCCACTAAGTCAAGCAATATGCATTGCTTTCTACAATTACTAGCCTCTTCCATGGTAGTCTTCCACGAGGACAACTTTCTGCAACCATCTAGAACCTGCAACCACTTCCAGCGCACAGTTTCTAAAAGGCCGACCATCCTTTCCATCCCTACTCAGACCCGTCAACCCTGCCACGATCGACGCGGTCTAGCCACCCAGAACTCTGAATCGTGCAACACAATAAGAAATCCACCGAGCCAAGAGGTCAGATGCCTACCGAATCTTCGAGTCTATTCACACGCTCAACACATAAACGCAAGGACACACACACCCTTACGCAACAGCTTTTGCAGCGCTGGACCTGTCAAGGCCAGAGATCGACAGTGGGGCTTGCAAAAAAGGCACAGACTACCCAGCACCATTTAGAACATAGCAAAGAAGATGCGACGTGCAGAGAGAGAGGAAGGGAACCGTCGAAGTGACGTCTTAAAATGCAAGACGGCTAGAGTTTATTTTCGCTATTCATCGTCCGAAGGACTGAAAGTTAAAGGAGACGAGGGGGAAGAAATGGGGGTGGGCTTCGACCCCTTCTGTCGCTGCTGACCTTTGATTGTTGAACATTGTCTACCTTACGTTGTAATTGTACGTGTACCCTTACGCCATCAACCGTCTGTCCACCCAATGCCTTGATTATGTACCCTGGGAAGAGTCTGTGCGGTAGACCTCCGTTTTCCGAAACGCCATGCCCAAAGATTAAGGTTTACCAGCAAGTAAAATAGCAGTCCTGTTCATGGCATGAAAGGGAAAATGACGTGCAGCCGCTCTCCATGTCTCCTGCGTGGTGATGCAGGTAGGCGACAAAGAGTCAGGGATAGAAACGAAAAAAAAAAAGCGCTGCAGCCACGCCCTGTGGTCTTCAATTGCCATATCGCGCAGCTCTCAGACCAGTGAAGGCTTCTTTTTGATGCCAAGCGCCGCAGAGTAATCCTTCTTCTTCTTCACCACGCGTTTGGCCGGAGGCGGTGGCGGCGGCATCATTGAAGTATCCCTCACGGTCCCCGCCGCCGCAGCCTCCGACTTCTCCCCTGACGTTGAGGATGACGCTACCGCCGCTGATGAGGAGGAGGAGGAGGATGGTCCTCCGATTACCCCTCCGTCATATTCATCATCGTCGATAATCTCCTCCCCGAGCCTCTCCCTTGCAGCAGCGAAAGCCTTCTTCGCAGCCTCCTCGTCCTCCCTCTCTTCTCTCGCCCTCTCTTCGTCCTCAGGCCGGACGACGTACTCGGAAAAGTCCACGCCGTCCTTCTCAGACCGCTGGATGCGCGCGTTGCGCTGGCGAATCTCGTCGAGCGCGTCCGCGGCAGCCATTTCCAGCCTCGCGTCCTCGTTCTTGGCTTCCAGGTCCGCCATCGCGTTCTTCTCCTCCTCGCCTGCAGCTTCAGCCTCCTCGCGCTCCAGCCGGTCCAGCCTCTCGTCCACGCTCTCTTTTTCGCCTTCCTTATTGCGCCAGGGCTCCATGTTTCGTATCGCGCCTTTGATGACGGCGTAGTCAGCAATCTTTGGGTCGGTCCTGATGATGATTTCCGCCGAGCATCGCGTGCATTTCAGGTAGAAGCGGTGGATCTGGATATTGAGGTATCGCTCTGCTTGGTTCGTCTCCTTTCTGGAGTTGAATTTGCGGCCCTTGTAGATGTATTCTCCGCACGTTGTGCACTTCATTGAGAAGGGCGCCATGATGCGGACGGTCTGGACCTTGGGGCCGGTCTGCTTCGGTCCGCGCTTGCGCGTGAGGGCGGAGGGATCGAAATCCGGGGGGTAATACTTTTGGAGCACTTTTCGTTCAGACATGATGGGCGACGGGCTTCCGCGAAACTATGCGACGGAAAGGTCTGATTTGGTTGGCGGAATCGCAAAGTGATGATATGGTTGTCGTGAAACTTTTTGGTGGAGTTGGGATATGGCAGGCAAACCGTGCATCTGTGGCGGATGTCACTGATGGTGGGGCATCGCGCCGTATCGGAAGGTCGGCGAAACCAAATTCCCGGTGATGAATTACGGTCCCTCTCAACACAGCATCCAACTTCCGTTTCATTCAAACCGTTTCACATGTGACCATTCTTCACGAGAATCTCAAATGTCTAGACGCGAATACCTTCAACTCAATCGCGGAATGCCTCTCAAGTCCATTTCAATCATCACGACCTAGGGGGTGTCACGCTATGCGTTGCTGCGAATAGTATTCTTTGCTAATCGACCAGGGAGTGCGTAGACGAGCCAAGTTCACGCCGCCAGCAGGCAACGTATGAAGTCCTCAGCAACGACCGCTGGCGAGCCTCAACAAATCCGCGCGGATAACTTTCCCTGTCTACACGTGTACGTAGTAGAATCAAGGTCCACCTTCCACTAGAGTCTAGAGCTGATCACGAGCACCCTGGTTTGAGCTTCAATTTCCCGAGTTGGGCTCCCGTTCCCAGTTCCTTGCTGCTACGGATACTCTCGGGCACCAACGCAACACTCAACTCAAAACGTGGACGGCCACCGTAGACGGATCATGGACTTCCGCGAGGGAAGCGCGCGGAGGGCAGAGAGAGGGACATTGCATGTCAGCAGGTCTTTCACCCGCCTCCAGCTTGACAGTCGGCACCCTGGCCGGCGTCGATACAACCCACTCACCCCCCCTCCGGTACGAAAACTGTTGTAAGGGACCCTTGGCTTCCAGTTACGACCGTTGGGGCCCCACTGTCGATCTTGCTCGTTCCAAGGTTCGAGGCTGACTGGAGACAATAAAAGTTGGCATCAGTGAACCCCGTCCCCTGGCGGGCAGGGGCACGAATTGCATCTTGCCTCGACACCGCCGGAAAGACGCACGTCGGGCGGCATCGTGAACACCGTAGTGGTGTTGCGAGTCCCGTCGGTTCCGGCATGAGCGGTCTTGTGGTTGCGACCCCAAGGGTCTACGCTAGCCATCATGAATCACCACACTAGCAGTCAAGCACGCCCTTATGCGAACGGTGTTGTCTCTTTCTCAGGGACGACAACGGCAGCCAACTGCTTAGCGGATTCAATTAGCCTATGAGATGGAACACCCTGAAGCGGTTGGTTGAAGCTCAAGTCTGCATCTTCATCGTCGAAATACCTTGCATTGAGTCGGTAACGGTTGGCATCGCATCGCATGACATGGTCAAGATAATCTCTGTTCGTGGCAGCGGCGCTCACCGAGCATCGTCTCATGTTGCTGTTGACCGCCCACCCAGCCGACTAGATCATCGCTGCAAGATTCCAATAATTTCAACCTGCCGCAGGATCCATCCTTCTGCAGTGGGAAAAGTTGGCGTTGGCCCGGTGGTTTGACAGCCGCATGGGAATCAAGGAATCCCATGTCGATCTCTATCCTTTTCCGGAATTCTGTAAACTCTAATGGTTTTGCGGGTCTCCAGGACCAAGTTCTCAATTTTGCTAGCCATACCCTACCAACTTGGCAGGGCTCTTCGACTTTCAAGCGCCCTCCTTGATACCCACCTCCAGCATTTCAGCCAGGAGGTCCCATTTCACAGCCGCCTCGTCGCTTGAAGCCCTGGCAACCCCTCGTAGGCCCCCACAGATGAACTTTAGGTGCCTCTCGAAGTCTGTCTTAATCTCCCGCAGGCATTCTAGGTAGCCCTTGCCTGCATTAATTGCGCCCCTTTTGGTTTTGGTCCCGAGGCGCTCCGCACCGTCGTCGTCACTGTCTTCGGCGTAGACAGCCGGTTTTCGGCGGCGGGGACTCGCTTTCATCGGCGAGGACATGATGGAAAGACGGGATAACTCTTGTTGTTCCTCTGCCTCCTCGGCGACGCTAGCGCTTTGGGCGTCTTCAAGTTTCGCAGCCAGGTCCATAATGTCTAGGATGCCACCGCGTATGGGATCCAGTTTTCTGCCGAGACATGCTGCGTCGATAACTTGCTTCACGAAGGCTTCGTGATGCCTGATCATGGCATCTACATCATAGGCCTCTCGCAATTTCCAGCGGAGGGATTCTGTGTAAGGGGCTAAAACCAACGTCGATAGATATGTCTGGATGCAGTTGCAAAACCACATCAACTTTGAGCGGAGCAAGTAGTACATCGCTTTGCTGCCCCATACATCGCTTCTGGAAGCAAGCTCGTCGAGGATCCGGTTGCGTTGGATGAGACCGATGGCGCGTCTGATCTGCATCAGAAACGTAAAAACTGCTTGGTATTGGGCACTTGTGTCTTCAGTGACAACAAGCTGCACTGGCCAGGGAAGACGATACTGCAGAACGATTTCTGGCAAGGCCGTCCGGATAAGATCGCGCCCAGCTACGACAGACTTCTTCTGGCCTTCGACTCGGACAGTGACAAAGAGCCGGGTGGTATCAACTCGTAGGGAAAACGCCTCCTGAGCCAGACCAGTCAAGGAGTATCGGTCATGCCAATCAGGCCTGAGAGCATCTAGCCGGGCAAAAACGCCTTTACAAAACTCATCAGCCGCAGCTCCATCAGTCATGAGAAAGAGGTGATGCAGGGCGCCGATATTCGCCTCTAGGTTGCAAGAATCAAAGAGCGCCTGTTTCAAGCTTTCCGAGGTTGCATGATATTTGCTTTGCATCCATAGAGTGAAGGCCGATGTGAATAGCTCGGGGAATGGCGCAAGTTCCAGGCCTGGCGGGCAGACTGAATCGAACGTTAAAGGAGGTTCGTGATCGTCCCAGAGTTGACGAAGTGCATCAAATTTCCCAAGATGTTTGAGAACGACGATGCTTTTTCCAGCCGTGAAGATCTTGCCAACACTGGGCTGAAGGAAACCGGGCGCATGCAAGACACCTTCTGATGTTCGCCTCATCTTGAATTGTTCTTGCCAGACATGACGGAGTGGAACTTGGGTTGGCGACTCGGACACGAAGAAGATCTTATCGCCTGGCACGAGTTGCCCCTCTGACATCCAAAGTCGAATAGGTCGGAGATAGACTTGAAAACAGTTGAAGAATATGCGTCCCAGGAAGTCGTAAGTCGAATCGCGACCTGAAAGCTGGGCCCTGCTGATTTCATCATAGAGAAGCTCAAGAAAGCGGAACGCTCCGCCATTCGCAGGATCGTAAAGCTGCCTAACAATCTCCGAGAGAGACCCTAAGGGTTCTATCCGAGGTCTGAGTTCCTCCAGAATTGCTGCCATGCTGATGACCGTATCTTCCCGCGCCACTGCCAGATTAATCTGGGTGTGGGATAATCTCTTGTCAAAGGATTGTAGACTGGCAATGACATTGTCACGGAAAACTTGAAAGAGTGGCGCCGTCTGAGGTCTCTTCGAGAAAGTCCGTATCTGGGAAACTTGACGTCCGCATTCCACGTAGCTGCTCAAAAGTGCTTTGTGCGTATCCCATTCAAGACTGGATATCTGGTACACAGGGTCGGGAAGGCCATCTTTCTGGAATAACGTTGTGGGCAGGCCTTGCAACATGAAGAGGGCTTCTCTCATGGTCTGGAACTCTGTTACAGCGATCTTTTGTGGTCGGGCTGAAGAGGCGGTCTTCTTGCCTTCCATCCTCCAAGCCTGGCTTTCCTGAACAATTTTGAGGGCGTTCTCGTCAGAGGAAGCAATCTCGAAATCCTCCGGTTTCCTGCCGATCGATGTATCAAGAGTTGAGAGCGAGGTCTCGTCAGAAACACTTGATGTGTCTGACTTGGTCTCGCCGTATTCGTCGCCAGAGTGATCGCTGTAATCAATGGAGTTCCATATCTCGGCATCCTCGTGCCATCCATCCTCTTTCGCGATATCTTCCCATCTTAGTGGCGGTTCGGGGTCTCTTTCGGGTTCCCTGAGGAGTTCTAAGTCGCTCAGTCGGGTTTTCTGTGTTGGTTTATCGGCAAGTTCGAGGAGAAAATGAAGGATGTCGGGATGCCATTTGGTTCGGAGTTGTGACAACGCATCGAGCCGCTCCTTGAAGGCATCCGCCAAGCCTTCACGATGGTGGACCCTGAACCGCTCCTCCAGGCCAACGAGCTGATTCTCAACGTCGAATTGATTGGTGCGCAGGAGGTTGTGATACTTGAGACTGCGATGTGAAGACTCGCGCAACAGATTGAAGCGCTCTCGACTGATGTGCTGCTGTTGGTGTTAGCGACGGGCCGAGCTGCATTGCATTGTGTATGCTCATGCAAGATGGGATGAACCGTCTCCCACCTTGTCTGGTGTCGATGTGATGACCTCGACCAATTCATCAGTCAAGGCGCCGAGCTTTGCGGCGAATGCCATTGTTTGCCAAGGTAGCCAGGTCGCTGGCAGAGGGATTGAGGCTTAAGTCATGGAATTAGGGGGCGATGTGTCGGCATTGGGCTAATTTGCCGGCATCGTCAAGAGACGCGTTGCAGAAGTGCTTGTCGCAATTACTCGCGACAGCCATTCAGTGAGCCGGTGGTGCTAGGAACTTAGGATGCCGGATAGAGGGGGGGCGCGCGGGGGTTCTGCTCCTCCCTTATTGCTGATTACAGGGATTGGACAGCTGGACAAAGCGCCCATAGGTCCTTGGTTCTCCCAATGCAAGACGCTAATTGGCAAATTTCATGGGGTGACATCAGCCTCAAGCATCCAACGACCTGGGACAACTGCCATCGACGCCCCCTTTTCCGATTTTTTTTACGCGTCACTCTTCAATCTGGCCTAGTGATCAACAAATCTCCCTTCCACACCACCGAACGGCCTTCAAAAACCGACGGCACGAGCCGCAACCGAGGAATCTTACACTACCCGATCGACTTCGACGACCTGGCTTTTCCGCTAGCCGTTGACTATTTGCGCAAACGTCGAACCTGACATTGCTCGACGTCGAGATACCTCCGCTCTCCCACATCCTTCCCACGATCGCTAGCTTGCTTCCACTCCATCGGCCAACATGGCGGTCGCCCGCCCAGTTCGAGCTCTGGCATTAGCTGCCGTGATGCTTTGGTGCTTCTTCCTTTATCAGATCTTTGGCCCCGAAAGGCCGATAAGCCAGAAGCCAGTGCGCTACGGTAATGGAAGGGACCCCAACCTTGATCGTAAGTTGCGCCTGCAATTGCTGCGAAGTCATCGCACAGATAACTGACAAGAGTGTCTCTGTACAGCTACCGGCGAGCCTCAAGGTGTTCTAACATATGTCTCCGACAAATATGCCCCCGGCATCGAGGATTCTGCTCGTATCAACGCTACCCTGCTGGCGCTGGTCAGGAACGAGGAGCTGGATGGAATGATCCAATCCATGGTCGATCTCGAGAGAACCTGGAACCACAAGTTCAACTACCCTTGGACATTCTTCAACGAGGTTCCCTTCAGCGAGGAATTCAAGAGGAGGACCCAGGCGGCCACCAAGGCTGAGTGTAGATACGGTAAGTTTTTGCAACGTTTCTCTGCGCGGCTCTTGCGCTAATCAAACTTGGTAGAACTCATCCCCAAAGAGCACTGGGAGATGCCGTCGTGGATCAACAAAGACCTGTACGAAGAATCCGTCAAGATTCTCAAGGAAAACGACATTCAATACGCCGATAAGGTTTCGTACCACTCCATGTGCCGCTGGAACAGTGGCATGTTTTACAAGCACCCTGCCTTGCAGCACACCAAGTACTACTGGCGTGTCGAACCCAAGGTCCATTTCTTCTGCGACGTTGATTACGATGTCTTCCGCTACATGCAGGACAACAACAAGACATATGGTTTCACCGTCAACCTGTACGACGCGCCCAAGTCCATCCCGACGTTGTGGCCCGAGACCAGAAAGTTCCTCGCGCAGCACCCCGAATACCTTCACGAGAACAACGCAATGGACTGGCTCACCGATAAGGCTGGTCGTCCCGAGAACCACGTTGATGCGAACGGCTACTCTACCTGTCATTTCTGGAGCAACTTTGAGATTGCCGATATTGACTTCTGGCGGAGTCAAGCGTATGAGGACTACTTCCAACATCTGGACCGCGCTGGAGGTTTCTTCTACGAGAGATGGGGCGATGCTCCTGTCCATAGCATTGCTTTGGGTCTTTTTGAGGACAAGTCCAAGATCCACTGGTACGTTTTGTCAAGCTTCACAAAGCTCCATTCGAAGGAATACTCAACTAACATGCATCAGGTTCCGCGATATTGGGTACCAGCACATTCCCTTCTTCAACTGTCCCAACTCGAACAAGTGCAAGGGCTGTGTGAAGGGTCGCTTCACTGATGGTGAGGCCTGGCTGCACAAGGACGACTGTCGCCCGAACTGGTTCAAGTATGTCGGCATGGACTAAACAACCGAAGTGGTTTCAAAGCACGATTGCTGTTCTATGTAATTTTTGGTTGGCACCGATTGGGGATTTCCAGGGAAGCATCTGGGTACATTGGTGTTGGGCGTCTGCGGAACATCCACGCGTGTGTGTAGATTACCACGGAGTCAGAGACGGACATGACTCTGTATGATTTGGAAGATTTTGTTAGATACGTGAACGTCCGGAATGACGATACCTCATCACTGTTGCGGTGATATCATAGCGATGCATCATTAAAGGCTTCTAGAGTGAACCAAAGACCGTAGCTACTCCCGACGTGCCGCCGACGCAGAACTGATCTCCCCATCCACCACCCCTCCAGGCCATGCAACTAATAACATTGCTCCTCTCCTTCTCCTTGCCATCTTTGCCCAACATTCTCTTCTTGGGCTCGAAGCCCTCTGGGCATGGAACCCGGACCGTCGCGACTAGCTTGCCCGTCAAGAGGTCCCACGCCCATATCTTGCCATCGCCGTTCAACCCGGCAGGCCCCGTGCCAGCCGTAAGCTCATCGCCCGCAATGACGTATTTCTCCTTGCTGCCGAGGACGGCCTGTACGCGCAACTCCTCGTTCCTCCACCCATCACCCGCATACGTCTTCAGACACGTCCCGCTCTCCCGGTCCATCAGTCGGATCTTGCTGTCCAACGATCCGACCAGCATGGCCTTGCCGTCCCGCGTGAGCTTGAGACTCGTCACGCTCGCGCCGATAACATCCGTCACGCACCGTCCCATCCGGACGTCGTAGCTCCTCACCCGCCCGTCGACGCTCCCTGCAATGACTTCCGCGTCCCGCACCGCGAGCGCGGTGATGGCGTCCTTGGCCTCGTCCAAGACCTGTACTGGCTTCGCCGAGTTGGATTTGGCGTCCCACACGCGCGCGCTCGTGTCGAAGCCCCCTGAGATGACGAGCGAGTCCCCATCGCCCGCGAACGAGACGCAGTTGACGCGCGCCGTGTGGCCGTGCGCGTTACCGCCGAAGCGGCGGATCGTCTTGGCCGTGGCTACGTCCCAGAGGAAGACGGCGCGGTCGCCGCCGACGGAGGCGAAGCGCTCGTTGTCGGAGGAGACGGAGAGGTCGAGGACCTCGTAGCCGTGGGCGGCGTAGGTTTGGATGAGGCGGCCTTCCGGGACGGCGGCCTTGGCTGTTCCCGGTGGCCTGTTGCTGTTGATGGCTGAGCTATAGCGCTGGGGCTGGTCGTGAGATGCCGGGTTGTAAAGTCTGATGTTGCGGTCTGCTGAGCCGGTGAGGATGTATGTTCCTGGCGAGGCTGAATATGAGACAGTATGGACAGGCCCTAGTTAGAGTCAGCTCTTGAATCCTGTGATTTCTTGGAAATTTTGACTTCTGTTTCATTCTCGGCTTGTCAGTCTCACGAGGGAACAACACGACGCAACTCACCATTTGAGCCCAGCAAGTGAGCGACCGGTCTGTCAGGAAACGACATCTAGGAAAGTCGGCAATGTGCCCATCACCGAGTTTTTGTTCTCAGTGGACTACAACTGTTCATTTCTTGACGAAATAAAGAATTCAAATCACGGTGTTTCCATATTTGTTCCCTCTTGCGATAGATAAAGATTGATGACCTTGCAGTGAGCAAGTACTTGTCTGAGTGGATCGCTTTAGTGCATATTCGGTGTACCCACACAAACAGCTTCCAGCGATTCTTGCTTCGCAAACACTCAAAGTCTCATTGCTGACAAGCCCAGAGATGCCGGCATGAACAATACAATAGCATATTGCAGCATCATCTCTTCAACAGGGGGGTCATTTTGACTCGCAGTTCGTCGTGGACTGAATTTTCGCGCAATCTGCGTACATCCCTACCTTTAAGTATAATTTCCGCTACCTGATCTTCATCAATGGCCGGTTGGCCCAATGGCAAGGCGTCTGACTACGACTAAGTGTATTATCAGGAGATTCTGGGTTCGACCCCCAGGCTGGTCAGTACTTTTGCATTTCAGCGAGATTGTTCTCGTGGAACTCTTATTTTTATCTCCCCTTGGCTTCGTTGCCTCTTCTTCATCTACAGCGAGGTGTATTGGCGCCATTATGCTCTACGGCAGAGCAACAAGCGCGCAATCGAAGTCCGTTGTGATACCTTCGTCATATCCTCTTCCACGTTCATGGTACCCTGGACTTTTAGGCCACTCATTACGGACCAAGAAGACTGCGACCTAGGACGCTGCTTGATCTCTTCCAGTGCCGTTGCTAGTCGTTTGATAGCTTTGGGCATCGCTTCCCGTTTGTCGGTATACACCAGTCTGAAGCAGCCCGGGACAGTCGAGAGCGAGAGCTATGTTGGTGTTAGTCATTCCTATGGCAAGCTGAGCTGAGTCTCATGGAATGACCTACCTCTCCAGGGCTGAGAAAGACACCTGCTTCATGCAAAAGATGTCGACAAAGTCTCATCTCGCGGCTCCCGGCGAGTTTAGTCAGGTCTTCTCCATGATCCAACCAATCCGTCAGCTTAACGAAGATGAAAACCCCACTGTTAGCTGGAACGAAAGGAATCCTCTTCTCTGTCAAAAGCTGTGCAGTAAGTTTATACTGCGTCTCGAGCCGTTGCCGATACGTCTTCAAGTATCTACGGACTGCCTCCTCGTCGAGCAAGAAGTGCGTGAAAAAGGCAGTCGAGAAACTCGAGACCCACGTAAACAGAACCAGCCTCCTTAGAGAGCGCCAGAGTAGCTCGTTCCGGGTCACGAGGAACCCGAGTCTCAAGCCACCGCAACCAAAGTCTTTACTTGCACCGTACATACAGTGAATGTTTTCCGCGAACACACCGAGAGGTGGGTCGTCCTGTATACTTAGCACGGAGGTGAACGATGGAAGGACCTGTCCGTATGTCCCTGCCGCTGTGGTGAAGGTCGACATGGCGTAGATCTCGTCGGATAGGAGGTGCATGTCTTTCTGCCCGCAGAATCTCGCAATATTGACTAACGTGGTGCGTGGGTAGGTCCTCCCGCAAGGGTTGCTTGGGTTGCAGAGGAGGATGGCCTTGGGGACAATGCCGTCTTTCAGGGCTGCTGCGTGTGCTCTGGACATTGCGTTGATGAGCAGAGGGGCAGATTGCTCGTCGAACTGGCTTTCGATGGGCTCGGTGTTTACTCTGATCAGGCTGACGCCTGCTCTGGCACATAGATCGTGAGGGAACATCATGTAAGTTGGAGTGATGACCATGATACCCTCGCCCGGGTCGCACATGCCAAATGCCATCATATCTAGGAGTGAGGTCACACCGTTGGTGACAAGGATGTCATTGGATGTTACCGGGCGCGAAGAACCGAAATAGCGATTTATGAAGCTACTCATCGCCTTGGCTAGCTCTTTCAACTTGTCATCAGCACACGGTATAGACACCACGGAAGAGACTTGATACTCACCTTTCGGACCCATAACATCCCCGTACCGAGTTGCTACGTGTCGTGTCAGTCCCAACTCTTAATTGAATTATGAGTTACTCATGCCTTTCGCAAAGTCATAAGTCTTGGAGAATTGGTCCATTTCCTCCGCTAGCACATCATCCATTAGACCATTGATGGCACCAGAGAGGTCAATGACTCCATCCGGGCACGTAACCGGGTCATACTGCGGGAGCTTGCCGGCTTCATTTTCCAAGTCGATGAAGCCCCCTGACTCCAAGTTCGCCAAGGCTCGCGAAGATGGTTCGATGACGCGCTTTCCGGATGACATGTCTTGTGAACCCTTGGTAATTGATGTTGCGATTCAAAGGAGGAACTTGAACCCCGCCCGAAGCTGATGCCGGATAAGATATGGCACCCCCGACCTGATTCGGCATGAGATAGCCGAAATCTGGATCCTGGCACTCTAAGTCTACGGATACCTTAATTCATATCCATAGTAGAAAAGCTTACAGACCCATGTAAGTCACCGTCCGGCCCTGACATCGTCACGAGAAACTCATGTTGCAATGAAATTCGTGTGAAGCCGAAGCTGGAGGTCAATCCGATCCATCACGAAGAGGTTCGCTTTCCAAGCTGCAGGTCTCCCACGCGTTCAGTTTTGCTAATCAAACTAACCCGCAAGGAACCTCAAACGCCGTCAGTTATGGCAGGAGTTGATCTACGTTTCCAGCATTCCAGTAATCGGATCTGGACCCTTTCCCACTGCCGTTCCGGCCCCATCCCAAAGGACCACGGCAAGACGCGTGTGCCGCCCGATGACGCGCATTTCTTTGGTGTGGCGTGCAAGGGAAGACCCCTTTCATTTAAATGTTTCTACACTCAGGAACCATCCGAATCCTTGGGTTCAAAGACTGCTGATGGCTGAACACGCGCACCCGAGCGTTGACGGTCAAGCTCATGGGCGGAATGTTTCTTTGCGCCATCTGGACCCCGGCTGTCTGATCTCAATTCTTTTGTGGCGCACAAGGTCCAGCTGACCCGTGGGCAGCAGAGACACGATGTCTCTGCATAATCAGAACGGAAACACGATTAATTCCTTGTGGGAAATGACTTCATCGCCGTTGCGTCCCTTGTTTTATGGCACAGGGTCAGGGTCTTGGTCATCTTAAGTTCCGAGCCTTCATGTTCTCGATTGTGAAGCACAAAGACGGAGCTGGGCTAAGGGACGCACGGGGAAACGTATAGCGGTCATTGGCCCTGCGTCCGCTGCTCGACCGCTGAAAATTAGGGGAAGATAGCAGATCTCCCGCGCAGAACCAGCGCAAAATCCACTTCCAGATCGTTTTGCGATTCTTAGATCCCTGCCGCATCACTCATGATATCAATAACCACTGGCCCAGATCGTCTAGTTGGTTAGGATGATACGTTGTGGTTCTTCTATACAGCGATCCGTGTTGACGGCGGTTCGAATCCGCCTCTGGGCAGTAATCTTTTGCTTTTGCTGCGGATTATCATTGCGAAGCCGGAATTAACATCTTTTGGTGGAACGATTCTGAATTTCTGTTCTCCCGCAATTTGTGAAGCGCTCGACATGATCTGATGTGGTATTGTAGGTGTTATTAACGCGTATGTATCCAAGCTTTTTGAAACTGTCTCATGGACGAATCAAGACTGATCGAACATTCCCGCTGCCCTTGACGGTAATCATCTCCCCATCGACATCAAATGATTTCACTTCATGCTCTTCGGACGACAAGTCTGGCCAGTCCCTCCAGAGTTCGCACGAAGCATGTCTCGTAGAATCGTTGCGTCTGACGAGCTTCACGACCCTGAGAGCCTGTTCCTCGTCTCCCACCTCGAATAGTAAGACTCGCGGGCGTAGTTGGCTCCCAATGTCGAGCAGTCTAGCGTAAAAGACATCGGCATGATCACACCATTCATACGTGGGTGACGTCTCCCCTGGCACAAGCGCGAGCTTCGGCTCGTACTTTCGCACCGAATAGCCCATCTGGCCTTGGCCATAGGTCCAAACTTTGCGTGATATGTACGGCGGGTTTGACACCAACACGTCACATTGATGAAGTGACTGCATATCAGCCTCCTGAAAGACGTCTGCTTTCTGGAAGGACACCTCGTTATCGGGAGATGGCGATATGAGTGACTTCGCAGCCAGGTTGTGCCGCAGGTTTTCCCGCGAGAGGTTGACGGCGATGGGCGAGACATCGACGCCCGTGATGCTGAGCTTCTTGGCCCATCGTGTAAGACGCTCATACAGAGCGAGCGCGATACACCCAGTGCCCGTGCAAAAGTCAACGATTCGCAGGTCTCTGCTCTCAAAACCCGGCAGCTGGCCAAGCGAGATCATATCGGCCAGGTGCAGCGCGTACGCCTCCGTCTCTGCGCGCGGGGCGAGCACGCCGGGCCGGCACTTGATATCGAGGGCTCCAAAGGGCTGGGAGCCGAGAACGTACTGCAGCGGCACGCCGCGGCCGCGTTTTGCGCAGAGGCGTGCGACGCGGGCTTCTTGGTCATCGTGCGCCGGTAGCAGCACCTTTGAAGGCAACTGCCTACCGCTGCTCGCGACGTGCGACCTGATCCAGTGGAGCTCGGTCACCGCGGAGGGTATATCGCGGCATGCCGGCAGGAGGACGGCGGCGTAGGGGGAGATGGCGTGGGCGCGGCGAAAAAGGCAGGGCGGTAGGCGAGGCATCTACCACGGTGCGTGCACGCTTACTATCTGTATGTTTCTCTCCGACCGCTGACTCAATGCATTGCGCGTCATGAGGGGAAGGACGAATAGATGGCGTGAGGGAATTTGTGGATGAGATGAAGTTTGTGAGAGGGAGGTGTAAGGGTAAACCAGGAGTGAGTTGAAAGTTTTGGGGAGCTTGGGAGCTTGGAGCTTGGGCCACACCGAGCCATGTACACCGAGGCCGAGCTTGTTGAAGCCATCGTGGTGTCGGTATTTGAAGACCTGGATAAACAAACAACGGCCAATTTGAAAGAATATGTTTTCTAGTCCCAATAAATTAGATTTGTAATAAGTATGGATGTGAAAGCAGCGTTTTTTTCCTCTCATTTCGGTGGGCCGATTGAACAGAACCCAACTATCTACCGTGCCTAGCTAGGTTGGACTAACACGGCTCTCAACCACAGAGGTCCTAAATCTTGCAGTCACGCGGGATTCTTGGATGGCATCATGCCCTATTCCGGTTCCAACAAGGCAGCAGAATCGAATTTTCAGGGTACCTTAATGGCTACCTTGGCCTACGAGCCAGACATAGCTTCCACTTTATCTGAAGGCTCTTTCCTGCCGGCATACTTCAGGAAAACACTTACCTTAGTTTTCTACAACTCATCATATATTCCTACCAAGGACTACTCCATCAACCTCTGATTATCAAGTCATAGAAGTATACATCGCCAGATCACATCACACAACACCTAAGCAAGCAACCACTCAAACCCCAAGAAAAACGACCAACCAGAAATCAACTCAAAAAAATTAAAAAAAAATAACCAGAACCAACTCCTTCAAACATGCACGTCAGGCCCCACCACCTAGTCCTCCTCATCGCAGCTCTGCTCTGCCTCGTCGACTACGCCCACGCAGACCGCTCCTACTACACTTGGATTCGTTACAAGTGCTGCAACCAACCGGAGCGATTGTTTTGCAAAGAGTCCATCGAAAAGTATAGGTTCTGCCAAGCAGCTGCCCGCATGGGCGGCGTTCCGCCCCTCGTGTGCAGGGTGACACAGCAGTGGAACGAGAGATCCCGACAGGCGTGCCGGCCTGGCATCGAGGGCCCGCCGGACTGGGTCGATCCCGATAAGCCTCATCGCCCTCCTATGAAGTAAAGGAAGGGAATAATCGATCTGTTTTTCCGGGGGAAGGGGGGCAAGGTCCGAGAATACGACGATGGGACCAACCGTGCCACTCTATTTAGTTTCGTCCTAATAGGAACTCGAAATCTGGAAGCGAGCTGGGAAGGTGGTAATATCGCGTATGGGTCAGAGTCATCGCCTTGTAGTATCTGAGGTAAAGGGATAGGGGAAAGGATACAATTGTTGTTCGCAGCCATTCGACTTCCAGTCTCCGTCATAATACTTGGAGTTTTTGTACTTGGCCTATCTGCATAGATCAGTCAGTGTTCATCTAGATTGTCAGTTCAAGGTCGTCGAGTAATATTGCATGATAGGAACGCTATAGAGACATTGAAGACACTACAATCTTGGCAACCAGAGCGGATAACAAATCATAAAGGCTTTCTTTTTGTTCCGAAAAAAAATAAGGGTGGGTAATCGCGACTAAATATCGAGGTCGTACAATACTGTTACAGTGTCTCAACCCCCTGATAGGCGATGGGTATATCATCCCATCCTCAAAACTCCCCAAACCCGAACCAAAAAAGTAAGTAACGATGAAAGAGAAACTTCACACCTCCATAACCGTGATATTCATGACGTTGTTCTTGTAATCCTTGATGAAACTCTCGTAACGCGGATAAACCTCCTCATCGTCGACCCGAAGACGGTCTTTTTGACCCTCATTCTCTTCCTTCTCTTCCTCCTTTTCCTCTTCGTCTTCAACGAAATCTTGCTCCTCTTTCTCCACGGCGTCGCCATCCTCCTCTTCCTCTACTCTAGTCTCGTCTCCTTCCTCGTCGCCGTCCGAATAGTCTTCCCAGAAATTGCCATCCTCAAAGTAATAGTCCGCCCACTCGCCGTAGACTTCCGGCTCAGCCTGCTGTTGTTGTTGCTGTTGCTGCTGCTGCTGCCCCAGCTGTTGGTCCCCTTCGATCTCCCCTTCCGGCCGCGCCTCTGGCAGCCAAGACTGGAATCTCGATATCGGGGCCCCAGTGTTGAGAATGGTATCCTTGGACGAGCGCCATGAGTACTTCCTCGGCACCGGCTCCGGGCTTATGTTCATCTGGTGAACAATGTGATCTGATGGCGGAGGCGTCATCGGTTCGGATGTCGCACGAAGGCGGGGGTCTGTAAACGGGGTTGCCGGCCGGTCTTTTACCGGTGTCAGGAGCGGAGGCGAGTACGAGCCGACGGACTCGTCTCCGACAACAGTGGGAGACAGCGCTTCGGAGGATGAGCGGACAGTAACTCGCTGGGGGCATGGGGAGTCAATGTCCCTCGACGAGAATAGAGACTCGATGCTGTCATCGGACCAGCGAGATGTGTTAGCCTTGGGCGTGTGAAAGCTTAATCGTGATTGACTGCGGGACAGAGTAGGCGGCGGAGAGAGGGGGGCACCGCCAAAGGCCATCGAAGGACCGCATGGGGGTTCTTCGTCGATGTCCCCTGCGTCGCTAGTACTGGGGGTTCTGGTGTGGTATGACCGCCGTGATGCCATCGTCGACTTGGTCGAGCTTCTGCCCACTTCCACGACCTTTGCCGGACCAGAGGAATTGGTCCTTGCTAGACGAGCTTCTTCCAAGTGCACGCTCTCTACCCTTACACTCCGGAGGTACCTGCGGTCCTCCACATCCTGTTCCTCCGGATACGGCCACATCTTGAGGCCCGTCTTGACGCCTCCCCTCTTGTGTTCCTCTTGTCTCTGCAGTGACATGAGGAATTCCATGCATTGCTCGTCATTCGGAATGGCCCGTCTTGATATCGGCCGCTCTGGCCTGTCGGGCGTGTGTATAATTCGAAACGATGAGTCCTCGTCAAGAAGTCTCGGTGGTAGTGTTCTCGGTGATTTGGGCGATAAAGGGAACCGCGGCGATTTGGGTGATAGTGGAAACCTTGGCGACTTTGGGGATTTGGGCGACTTTGGTGATTTAGGAGATGTCATGAGGTTCTTGATCTTCAGACCTCTCAGGTACGGCGACAATTGCGTGGTCCAAGTCGATTTCCTACCATGATCGTTCATATTGACAGTTTGTGGGATTGTCCACGAGGAAGGCAATGCCGGCGGGGCCGGGTGTTTAAAGTCCATGGCTCCAACAGAGGCTTCAAGGAACAGCACTCCTCTTGACAGGCACCGAGGCAGGGGAGAAAAAACCTGGATGGCGAGAGTTTAAGCTGCTTATGCACCGTCGAGGGAAACTCTTTGTAAAGGCTGCAGGCGAAAGCCCATCATGGTGGGCCGGTCGCTGGCAGACAAAGAATGCTTAGTTGAATAGCTTCTCATTTCAGCCAAAGTCACTGAGGAATGTGGCCGGCCCAAAAGAGGTTACCACCACATTCCTTTGTCCCGGGTGATCATCCCCGACATAAGCCGACACGCTGAGAAAAAAATAAACGCCAAAGTATGAATAAACCCCCGCGTGGTTTGACCTTATCATGGATGTTCTCCCTCGCAGGTTTTGAGACACTGCCCCACCATGAGTTCAGACTATAGCCCAACCGTGACAGTCATATTATTACTCAGGACCAACATGACGGGAGGGAGCTCGTGGCAGAGGACTTCAACGTCCGATAGATACTGCACGCTCGCAAGCTCATCCTGGCAAGTCCCCTCCGTGGGCACGGGCAACGTTGTGAACATGACGGCTGTCTCTTTGCTATTTTGCCGCATCAGCTCGTTGAGGATGACATGCTGCGCTCGTGATGGCAAATCGTTGAACGAGAACGAGATGCCTTGCGTCGAATAAGGCGAGCCGGGCCCGTCTGCGTCGGGTCTTGAGTCTAATCTGTAGCGTCCCACAAGCTCCGCCATGTTCATGTGGACGTCGCCTAGATCTGCAGTAGACGCGACCGAAGCTTTGCGTGATCTGCACGATGGTTCCGCAAACGTATTATTCGGCTCGAACTCTTCAGCCGCCGTCACCGTCATCTCGGGCACTGGCCGACTGGAGAACCGTCCTGCAGAGGATTGCCTTGAGAATGCGGGTTGTTCCGCCCGCGGCGTCTCTTCCTCAGTGGTGTCTGCAAACATGATTGTCGGACCAGACGCGCCTTCCACATCGGTTCTCGTCTCTGGCATTGGACGACTTGAGAACCGCACTGCTGATGATTGTCGAGAGAGCGTCGGTCTTGTTGCTGGGGTTGCTTTCCCAGATGCGCTTCCCGAGGTCGCATCATAAGTGTTGATGCCCGCCGACCGGAATCCACCCATGGAACGAGCAGAAATGTTTCGATCGAGCACAGGTCGTTCCAGCGGAGTAGGAGGCGCTGACACGTTTTCGACTCTTCCCACATGGCTTGGGCCCGCTTGCCCTTCAGAACGAGCTTGTGACACCATCGTGCCGTATGATGCTGCCGGTGCAGCGCTCTTGTTCGATTTGCTCCTTTTCTGTTTCGACGGGCTTGTGAGCAAGTCGTCGCTCTGGCTTCGTCCTCGCCCTCGCCCAAGTAGTAACGGCCGTCTAGGGGCATCTACTTCTGGCATCTCGTCCTCGCTGTAGTCGCTGCTGCCAGGTTCAAATTCTGAATCGGAATCAAGGCACGATGGCTGCTGTTCTTGATCACTCATCTCGCCGTCGGAGCCAGAGTCGTCTTCGAAGACCTCATCTCCCAAGTGAGACGTGTGAATTCCAACACTGACGCCAAGGCGAGACAGCTTCGAAACCGTCGGCTTCTTGGGCAGTTCCCCAAAGTGCACCAAACTTGGTCGCCGTCCACTCTCAATGTCGTCCAGTGATACATGCGGGTTAAACACGCCTGGCCGCCCTGCCGTTGACTCGATGATGTTCGCAAAAGACGTGAGCTCTTCGGTCGAGTTCAGGTTTGGCTCGCGGCCTCGAAACCTTTGGAGGTCGTCCCACCACTCTTCATCTTTGAGTATATCATGCACCATGATCTGAGACTCAAGGTCGTTGCTCTGGCCATTAATAATCAGCTCATACGTGTTGAGCTGTCCAGAAGCCAGCCAGAACACGATGACCTCGGCCTCGATCCTCAGCTTGTCTAGCAAAGCCTTGACCCGCGCCCTCTCTTCCTCTACTTCACTTTCATACTCCACAAAGACCATGACGCGGATGTTGTAGACCTTGTGCCATGTCGGCACGCTGTAGAGGATGTAGCCGAGTTGGAGAATCAAAGTATCTGCAAATGTTTTAGCAAGATTCTGACGAAGATATCAGTATTGCTCACATGTGTCGAAGTTGGTTGTCAAGACACTCTTCCCATCTGACAAAACTTCTGCCGACATCTGGATCGGCCAGAGATCGAGATGTTTCTTGATGTTGGCCTGGTCCTTGCGCGGCGTTTCCAAGTTTTCAAAGCCTTTGCCAATCGCAACGTTGAGTTTGTACCTCAGAGCGAGGTCCTCCAACATTGTCATGTAACTTGTGACGCTCATCAGGCCCTCTGTCTTCATCACATCGGTAGGCAGCATACCTTCCATCAGACGCGCTGATGTGTCGCCCCGTCTTCTGCGTGGTGGTCTCTCTTTGGCTTTAGCCTGAGGACGAGCATTCGAGTTCGACGAGCTTGGAGCTTTCGGAACTTGGAATGAAGGACGGGAATCTCTTAGCTCATCCATATTGTAGAATCCCATGACGGCAATGTTTGGCCGCATACCACCCAAGCCAGCTGACAGAATCAAGTTTCGGATACCCCAGGTAATGGTCGGGGACATTGTCAGCTGCACAAAAGCCTTGATGCGGGAGAACTCTGAGATGTACTTTGTCCACGCTGCCTGTTGAAGCCTTGCTTCGTGAACGCCGCTGCTGAAATCGTCCGTCACAATAACATGGCCGAGTATATAAAGACCCCCTTTCTTGACGGAGTTGCAGAATTGAATCAGCCGAGTTTGACTCCTAGGATTGTTGATGAGTAGAATGATTTGGGGCCTCCAGAACTTGATATGCTCGGGCCGTAGTCGCAGCAAGTACTTTCTCACTTGATGGTAGATGAGGTTTTGGGAGACATCACCCCATCGCTTCGGTGGACTGAGATAGTGAATCAGAGAAAAGAGGAAGATGAGCAAGCAGACCGCCGTAGCCGCGTAAGTCTGGTCAATGAAGAACATAGCTGCTGCAGACATGATGCTGCCAGCGAAAGCTGTCTCCCAACTGAAGAACTTGAACGCTGGCCGAAAGTTGGGTGCTGATCCTATCTTGAGTAGGAAACATGCTAGATTCATGACGAAAAAGGTCATCTACTATTTGTCAGCCCAAAATAGCTTCATCCAGATTGAGTAGGCAGGTGCTCACCTGGTAGCCCATGGAAATCAAAGTCGCAATCTGGTTCAGATTGGCAAACATGGCGATTTGGGCAAGTAAATACGTGAGGATGATGGCTTGGATTGGCTCATCTGCCCTCTTCGTCCCTTTCGAGAATGGCAGCAGACCAGGAAGCAGTTTGTCCCTCGCCAAGGCTTGCATGAGCTTTGCAGCGCCAATAAGTCCCATCACGGCGGAGAAGAAGGTGACGGCACACTCTCCTGCAAGGATCAAAGGCGGGGACAAGCTCGTTGCCGAGATAATGTTTGTGTTGTTGAGAAATGAAGCATGCGTTGTGGTGGAGGCCATGGAAAAGACTACAACCAGGTACGCAATGAACGTGGTCATCATCGCCCACAGAGTCCCTTTCGGGATGTCTTTGCTGGGATTAGCCAGATCTCCAGACATTGAAGCCCCTGCGAAGATTCCTGACGTGGCAGGAAACAGGATGGCAAAGACCTCTCGAAAAGTTTCAAAACCCTTGAAAGATTCGCTTTTCGTATGAGGAGCAAAATTGTCCACCAACGTTTCGATACTAAAGCCGGTGAAGCGTACACCAAGTCCATCGTCCCGAAAAGGAGACTTCAATGCGGAAGATATTGGAATGCTTATAATGGCGAGACTCAGTATGACAAGCAGCGCATTGCTAGCCTTGGCAAATATGCCGCTCCCGGCTAAGCACAATCCAGCACAGAGAAGCAAAGCCAAGGTCTGTAGCATATAGACAGTCCAGTAACCTTGGGGAAAAGATTCCCCGGCGTTCAGCTTTATGCAGTCAATGAGGCCAACAACGTTGAGAGCGGTGTTGAGAACTTGGGCGAGATAGAAGAGCATCCCGATGGAACCGCCAAACTCGGGGCCAAGAGACCTCGAGATTACGTAGTAGGCGCCTCCGCCCTTGACTTCGCCATTTGAAGCTATAGCAGACAGAGAGAGCGTTGTCAAGAAGTCTACAAGGTAAGCCGTAACGAGTAGTCCTGTGGGATTTGGTTAGTGTGGATTGAGATGGAGTGAGCGCATCTGTGTTAGTAGCTGACGAACCAAGCATGCCCAAAAGCCCAACCTGACCGAGAATCCAGCCAAAACGCAGAAACATGAGAATGCTGAAGATGTTGAGACAGACGGGGATGTAGACGCCCGAAACTGCGCCCAACTTGGCCTTGGTACTAGTCTGCTCCATGCTGGAGAGACTCGGTCGTCTGTCGTCGCCGCCCATGGTGAAGGTCGAAAAAGGGGGTTCGTCGTAATCAACAGGTCGACCCGGAACTCTTCCCGGAAATGGGGACGGGTGAATGCGCCACCTCCACGATCGTTTTCCTCGGGGCCGAACCACAATGAAGAGCCGACAAAGATTCGACGAACTTGAGTGAGGGAGATGGGATGGTCGTCGTCGTCGGTCAACAACAACCTAACGGTGTGGGAGCGCAGCGCATAGGTATATAAGTTAGAGTCCCCGCCCTTAATCGCACCAGTGTGCAATGTCGGACTGGGCTGGCTAATCAATCCCCCAGTGCGTCCAAGTGTAGTTGAACGATGGCTTGCGGCGCGGCGGCGGTGATCACGGCGACCAGTAAGAGGATGGCCTGGTTAGGACGGCGGGCCGCACAGGCATCCAACTGGCCCGGCGCATGTCTCGCGTCTTTCTCGTCGTCTCGTTTTCAGGGTTCACCGTTCTGCGAGCCAGGGATATCTGGGGCGATCCAATGCAAGCCTCTCCAATACCCCGCGTGCCGATTGGAAAGCCGCGATATGCTCCAGCCGGTCGCGCCGTGTTTGTTGGTGATCCACTCACACATCCAAGCACCAAAGTCTGGGAAATGCAGTGAGATGCAGAACAAGAGGCCGAAGTAGGAAGACGAAACGACGTCATCCAGCAGCGAGGGACAGATTGGAACCGGTCAGTCGCCAATGCGTGACAAGCGGTCACCGTGGTGGGACTGTGGGTTGTGCAGAGCGTTTTCTCGTGTCCAAGGATCTGTGAGGAGGGTAGTAGTAGGGTATCCTGCAGAATCGAGATGCGATTTCTTTGGAATTCCGTCAGGTAGGGTAGGGAGTCTATCTGTAGCCTGCGGGTAGCACGTTGATGTTGTTGGTTGGGTACGTCGTCCGGTTTGCCCGATCCCCCACGAGCCTCGAGTGAGCTTCCATGCCACAGATAAATACCTAGGTGTGTTAGGGCGATGGGCATAGCATCACAGGCCAACGAGAATAGCGTCAAGTGTCAAATGTCTGGCATCTGCCAGCCATCTGGCTCGACATTCCATCTGATGCTGGCGCGGCAGGGTTCGTCCTCCAAAATAGAAAACCAGAGACCAGTCCGTTGACTCAGGCGCATGACAGCGGCAAGCCGGAGATTTCAATGGGATGGGCCGGATTGGCCGCTGGTACCGCGAATGAGCAGTCACCAGTGTGGCTTTGCCGCTTATCAGCCAGCAACATGGGAGTGTCGAGTGTCTCTGCTTCATGACTCGATGATGGGGTTTCAATGTCAGAGGTGAAGAGTACAGGCGCATGGGATGCGAAATCAGCGATGACTACACCCAGGGGCACACAGGTACCGCTACATGCGCGGGTTCACTCGAGGAGTCGAGTCCTGAGTTTTTAGGTGCTGCTGTTCACACTCGCAGGCAGTTCTGGCCACAAGGGAGGTGGAGAGCCGCTGAAGAGCACCCGCCGCGGGGCTCCAAATCACACGCAGCCCACGCCAGGATGAGCGCGCTAGCCCCCCACTCTCCCTCTCACCCGTCGGAGCAAGAGGGACAAGTGAGGCGGGAGGTGCATGCGGCCAATGAGGCCTCTTCGCTTACTGTGGCGGTCGAGCTGTGCCTTACCTAAGCTGGTAAGATCCGATGGGAACCTTGGTTTTTGGGTAGTGTGCGCTGGCAAGCAAGACGAAATACTCGGCTCATTTGTAGTAAAAATTGTGAGTCGTATCCATTTTGAAGTGTTTGAGAAGTCTTGAAAGGACCGGAGGATGGCCGATCATAGAGAGAAAGCCACATATCCCAGAGATTTTCGCTGTGCTGTTTTGTTGTGCTGAATCAGACATGCGACTGACGGACAATACGAACCGGTCCGACGGCCCAAAAGCACAGGTCCTGGCGTAGGTAGTAGGTACAGTGGCACAGTGGCATATGCGGTTCCTGGTCAAAGAGTTCAAGATATTACATAAGAAGAAGTTAGAGACGAGCGCAAAAGTACAGGCAGTGAGACGAAGATATGAATTAGACAAGGAATATTGGTTGGAATGACCTAGACACCTTGTTGCTGTAGGAGACTTGAGATATCGCTGCGGCAATCTAAAGTAGATAGATACCCAAGATAATGCATCTTATCGTTGGTGGCTGGAGCTTGCAAGCTGTGACATGGAGCATAGCGTGTGATGATTCAAGAGTACCGTTACCAAGCACTGGAACCTGGGAGACCTGGCAAACCATGTCCGAGACAAGTCCTCACCTGGGGCAGCGTAGAGCGGCTAATACAGGCAGAACACTGCCTTGAGAGCGAAGCATGGTCAGCATGCCCGGCGGATGAAGCAAGGAACCCGAGAGAGCTTCTGGCTGTCGGTTGTCATAGCCCGACGGGTTTCGGCAGCGCAGCCACAGCACACCTACCTCTCCCATGCCCTGCTACAGGCTGCCAGGTAGCGCTACCTACCCGACGCTATCTGTGTGAGCCACAGACTCTCCAGACCTGCCAGATTAGGTCACCCGACCCGCATGGAAGCGGCGTCCTTATCACGGGTTCCCAGTAGCAACAGCTTCGAACGCACATCCCCCAAGCCGTGCGCTGCAATTGATCTCGTCAGCTGTCTTACAACTGAGTCCAGGTAAACTCTCCCCGGACTTGATTCGAACCTACATCTTCTCCATCATCTAGCTCTCGTTTTTCTCCCGGTTCCGTCTCATCTTCTCCTACCCATGACACTTTGCTAACTTTGTTGTCTGTTGTTGATCCAGTTCGGAATCTGCAACGCTGTGGTTGGAGGCTCCTCGATATACCGAAAATCGGCTTTCGACAGTCCCCGACCGGTTTCATTAGGCACCATCATGGCATCTCCTTCGAGAGATCCCCTCAGCATTCCTAGGGCCGACTCCCCGTCCCGACAATTCGGCTCTCTACCTCGAGCAGACGCCACCGCTCGACTGGCATCGCCCGTACCGTCGCAGCAATATGGCACTCCCCAGACCGGCCGCTTCGTCGGGAGCTCAAGTAGGCTAGGCGACGCCAGCGAGACCGCCAGCCTTGCTCCTCTTGCCGGAGCTGCTCCTTCAAGTGTTCAAGGTCCCGGCGTCTCGGCTCTGGCTGCCGCCTTGTCCAACTCTTTGGGAACATCTCCACCGAGACATGGCACACCACCGGTGCGTTCTGCCACTCCTCCGGCACGACCTCTCTCCCCGGCTGCTGCCGGCGCTCAGCTTTCGAGCACACCCATGACCAACTATGGATCTTTCGACTCTCGTTCGCGAAACGCCGGTGCGGGTGCCTACGAAGACCCCGAGATTGTCAAGAGGCATTTGGTCCAGCCTACCGACGCTGCTTCCGAAGAGTCTAGCATGCGTGATGGTGTGAAGGGTAAACAGACCGTGAACGCCGATGCCGAGACCGGACTGAACGAGGACGAGTTTTCGAGTTTGCAGCTGCAAGGCGGAGACGTGACTCGAGGCATTTACAAGTGGACCGAAGAGGCAGAAGCCCGCAACAAGATGCAGCGCAGCAAGAGTTTCAGCATTTCGCGTCCGGACCCCGAGACCGATATTCTTGACATCAACACGATCAAGGTTCCGGGAGGTTTCCGTCGCAACTACCTGCGCAGGGCGGCCAGAAGCCCCTCTACGGCCAGAGATGGTGGTGAGCGCGGCGAGGCTAGCGAAGCCTCTCAGCCTCGGCTGCTGACATCCAGCTTCCTCGAGTTCCTTTCTATCTATGGCCATTTTGCAGGTGAAGAGTTGGAGGAAGACGACGAGGCCTTACGACCCGGCGAATACTTCTCCTCGGGCGAAGACATGTACGAAAGCGACGACGATAGCGACGACGACAGAGAGCCGATGGAAGACAGCGCGCTGTTGACGCCATCGCGCCATAGAAGGAGACGCAAGCAGCGTGGTGGCAGTGGAAAGAACAGCCCTATGAGCGCGGCATTGCTTCTGCTCAAGTCATTCGTTGGCACTGGAGTTCTCTTCTTGCCTCGTGCTTATCTGAATGGTGGTATGGTCTTCAGCAACGCCGTCTTGCTTGGAGTTGCGGCGCTGAGCTACTACTGCTTCGTTCTCTTGGTTACGACTCGTCTCAAGGTCGACGGATCTTTTGGTGATCTTGGCGGCATTCTTTATGGCAAATGGATGAGGGCGACTATTCTCACATCTATCGTAATAAGTCAGATCGGATTTGTGGCGGCATACATGGTCTTTACGTCAGAAAACCTGCAGGCCGTTATTCTAGCAGTATCGGACTGCAAATCCAACATCGCTGTCAAGTGGTTGATCCTCTTGCAGGTGCTCGTCTTCCTGCCATTCTCCCTCTTGCGAGATATCGAGAAGCTGAGTTTCACTGCTCTTATCGCGGACGCCTTCATCCTGCTTGGCCTGGCCTACCTGCTTTACTACGACATCCTTACCTTGAGTACCAACGGCATTGCGGACATCATCCAGTTCAACCGCAACGATTGGACCTTGTTCATAGGCACAGCAATCTTTACGTTTGAAGGAATTGGCCTCATCATTCCTATTCAGGAGTCGATGAAGAACCCCAGCAAGTTCCCTCGTGTCATGTTGGCGGTCATGATCATCATCTCCGTCATCTTCATCGGCATGGGTGCAATCTCGTACGCTGCCTACGGATCCAAGACAGAGACTGTGGTGCTCCTCAACATGCCCCAAGACAACAAGGCGGTCAACAGTGTCCAGTTCCTTTACTCTATCGCCATTATGCTGTCAATTCCTTTGCAGCTTTTCCCCGCCATCAAGATTACCGAGAATGCGCTATTTACCAAGAGCGGAAAGTACAACCCCTACATCAAGTGGCAGAAGAACCTGTACCGCTTTTTCTTTGTCATTCTTTGCGCCGTCATCGCATGGGGTGGTGCGGATGATCTTGACAAGTTCGTTGCCCTTGTCGGTAACTTTGCCTGTATTCCGCTTGTCTATATCTACCCGGTGAGTATAGCCATGCACATGAGCCTACCAATGTGGGATACGACTGCTGACCTTCGAATAGCCCCTGCTTCACTACAAGGCCGTTGCGAGAAACAGACTCTGGAAGATTTCCGATATCATACTCTGCATCTTTGGCTTCGTTGCCATGGCTTATACCACAACCTTGACTGTTTATAGCTGGGCTGGTGGCTCTGATGAAGGCAAGCCTCCGGCATACTGCGACCGCAGGGGGAAGTAAGTTGGCACAAAGTGTCTCAGGGAAACGCATGCGACTGCATTTTAATTGTCATTCAGTGCTGTCTGGAAAGCGTTGGGTAATCATTGCATGGATTCCAGCGGGTTCTTCAAGGGTTTTGGACAGCATCGGTCGGTCGTCAATGAGCATGGGCTTGTACATAGACTGAAGAACAAGAGGCTCATCGCCACGTTTATAGTTCTGTATGTGTATACGTAGTAGCGGTTTGATCCAATCAATCTATTCTTCAGTTAATTCTGAAAAGTCCCTGAAAACATAAAGAACATGGAGCTGTAGATATCGCGTGTCTCAGCGATTTTGGATTCAACATGTGTAGGTGGAAAGGAAGATGTATGAAGGGAGCAGCAATATGCACTGCCACATTTGTGCATCTGTGGCGCAGCTCAAATTCTGGAGGACCCACAATGACTTCAGCCCGGGGAGGCATCCTCAATGAGAAGGAGCCTGAGCTTAACCACATCCCACTCACTCACCACGATCTCTCGTACCCCGGGTGAACTCTCAGATTTCACCATAGTACCAACACAAAGGCATGCATCAATCTCCCGTCATGATATCGCAATCGACTAACCAATTTTCAGTCTCACTTTGGTTTCCTAAATTCAATAATTTTTAACCACGCATTATCTTCGGCTTTGTCCTTCAAGTCTTACCACCGACTCTACCTTCCCGTTCACCATCACGAATCAACAAGATGAACGCGCCTGATCGGTAAGACGATCTGATTCCCCTTTGTTCTTGTGAGATTGGGGAAGATTCTAGGTCTGCCTAGCCAGAAGCCAGACTCGAGACGGCTTCACATTGTCATGATTCCCTTTGGGCTCCCCCTCAAGTTGCCCTCAAGGTGGCCGTGGTCTTCTTCTGGCTTCCTTGCCTGGCTTTACCAGAGGTGCCTTCGCAAGGCATGGAACTATTTTCACACCTCTATCCCATATCACAAGATTTTCCTTGCTGTTCCATACACGGTCTACCGTATCGCTGCTTTCCCAAGCATATCAAGATTCCAGAACCACCTCTCAGCATACACCTAAGCCACATCATGTCTCTCCAAATTGATACCGATCCTTCTCGGCGCGTTTCGTTGGAACCAAACAAAACTCGGTACACTGAAGCTAACTCGTTTCTAGTTTCGAGCTCTTCCTGCTCGGTGATGGCGAGAAGAAGATCGAGGAGAAGGTCTTCTCCGGTACGTTTTTCCCGCTCATTGACAATCTCCCAAGCCATTCGGCTGAGCTAAACGCTTCACAGGAATGTCCAACACCTCGGACTTCGTCATCAAGAAGGAGGACCACACCCTCGGCAACCTCTTGTCTGAGCACCTCAAGATGCATAAGCACGTCCTGATGGCGGGTTACAAGAGTAAGGCGCAATGCTCCTGAACCAGCGTCACACATATACTAAACTCTCATCACAGTCGCGCATCCAAACGTCCCCGAGATGTTCATCCGAGTCCAGACAGACGGCTCGATCACCGCCAAGGAGGCCTTGGTAGAAGTCATTAAGAAGCTCATGCAGGACTTGTCGCACCTCAGTCGCGAGTTCACTCGAGAGTTCGAGCTTCGTCGCATGGTCGAGGCCGGCCGTTCGAATCAGCAGGGCCAGTAAGCTGGACGTACTTGAGACGATGGGTTACATCTCGCGTGGGATTTTTCCTCTAGGCGTTAGGCGGATAAGGTCATTAGGGAATAACGGTCTGATACCGAAGTTTGGCATGGGGAATCGTCATATTGGTTTTCGCGTTCTGGGCTGAGAAAGGGCCTCGGATTAGAAAAGTTGATCATTGTGCATTACGTCGTCAATTACGCGATGCTTTGAAAGGCTCTCTCCGTGACATTTTGTGATGCGTATGCCCAGTTCCCCGAGGCCTTCTTTCGTGATTCACCCTTGGGCTCCGAGTCAACGCTTTCAGCTTTCAGCTTTCATGGCGTATTTGCTCGTACTACCCTGGTGCCGTCCTCGTAAGACCCTCCAGGTTATCAGAATGGTGAACTTGGTCTACCTGCGATCTTGAGGAACAGCTGCCTCTGCTCAAATTCTTTCCCTCCAAACTTCTTCATGCTGTCACTGGACCTTCTCCTCCAGGAATGAGCTGCGCACCATTAGTGACTGTTTCCCCTGTTGAGAAACCCGAGGGGGCAATACGTACCATGCAAATGTTGTTGCCGTTCAGTAGGATCTTGGGGAGCTTTGTGTGGTTTCCAGAGTAGTCACTAGCCGGTGGTTAGCAAGGGGCATGCGCTTCCGTCAGACGGGTCACGTACAATTCTGTCACGTCCTCCAACACCATGTCTATTTTTCTTTTGTCAGAGATTTCCGGTAAGGGGATAGCTCAACCTCAGAAGTTCACTCACTGACGTAGTCATCGAAACCCAGGAGCGTGCCACTGAATTCTGCCATCCCTTCGAGTTAGCAATCAGTAACGTTTGGCATAGGACGGCCGAATTACCCTTGTCGCCCTTCATTACAACCCAAATCCTCGATCCAACACACTTGTCGATGAGTTCTACGTTCGTCAGCTACGATGATCTGCGTTTATGGGCTTGTCCACTCACCCAGAGGGAGCAGTTGCGATGCCATTTTGCCGCTTGAAATTTCGAATCTGATGAATGTTCTGATTTTTTCTGGTTTTTGGTTTCCTTACAGAGGCTCCGCAGGGATTAAAGTCGTCAAAGTACTTGATGGTCGCTTTAATACACCAAACAAACGTTCCTTGCCAGCCACCAAAACGTCGATGCTTAAGATGATGGACGTCGTGCACCTGGGCCAGAGGGGTGAGCGTAGAAGCCCAAGTCAGGTGACTGCGCGATGAGCTGTGAATGACTAAGCCGAATCGCCCTGGAGCTCTCAGCTCCCGCTGCCGCCAACTGGTCGCGCATCACTCACAAAGCCTAGTTTAATTGAACCCCTCCATCACCCACGACGCGTCTGCCTGAAGAATACCCGTTCGTCACTTTGTCGCGCCAATGCCCGGTGGCAAATATGGCGCTTCACTTCCCCCTCAGATACACCCGCGAGCAGCGGTGATGGGCTTCCCTAGACGCAGCATTTTTATTCTATATAAGTCTCTACTCTTGCCGAGGTCGTCGCTGGTCCAAACGTCTGTACACTCTTTTTTCGAATTCCATGTTGCCCATGGCCTTTCGCTGACAGTTTCGACAACACACAGGCGTTCCAAATCAACAATGTATCCTTCTTCATACGCCAGACTATGGAATCCCGTTCGAGGTATCGTCTTCGGCTCTGTGCGGCAGGGCGAGACGTTCCATCCGCGAGTGGACATGCTGCGTTCTCTACACACCACGACGCCAGACAATAGCCAGCCCGCAGCTGCGACGAGATCGAACGACGAGATTATAGACTCTGACAGCGATGACCTTTTCTACACCGCTCCGGAGTACCAGCCCGTATTAGACAACGTGCCCACTGCCCAGATGCCTCAAGCAGACCCCGCAGGGAGTACGAAGGAGGGCAAGGTTGAGGCTGAGGGGACGGCGGCTACGGAGCCAGCAGAACCCCCGCAAACAAGTATAGACTTCAAGATCCCTCTGCCGGCATTCCGAAAAGCCCAGGAGGCGAAAGAGAACACGGGGGAATCGTTCTGGTCTTACACACTCTTTCGTGGGCCCGAGGTAGACGGGGTCGAGCAAAAGGTCAAGGTGCACTACTGCAAGACCAAACACACCATGGAGAGAGTATGCCAATATTTTAAGGATGATGCAGTCCTCGGATTTGATCTCGAGTGGTTTCCGGATGCCAAGAAGACCTCGGGTCCGAAGAAGAACGTCTCTTTGATCCAGATTGCCAACGAGAGTCGGATCGCTCTCTTTCACATTGCCTTGTTCCCCAACGACGACTTTGTCGCTCCGACGTTCCGGAAGATCATGGAGGACTCTGACGTGCGGAAGGTCGGCGTGAATATCAAAGGGGACTGTACGCGGATACGAAACAACTTGATGGTCGATACGAGGGGAGTCTTTGAGCTCAGCCACTTGTATAAGCTTGTGAAGTACTCGGCAAGTGGTGAAGTTGGATTGATCAACAAGAGGCTTGTGCCTCTGGCTACAATGGTCAAGGAACATCTCGGTCTCCCCATGTTCAAGGGGCAGGATGTCCGGTCGAGTGACTGGTCCCAGTCCCTGAACATGGACCAACTCATGTGTAAGTGCTTCCGAAATCTTTCCTCTGACGCTTGCTGATATTGCCTAGACTCCGCTTCGGATGCGTATGCTGGCTTCCAGCTATTCCACGTTCTCAATGGGAAGCGTGAGAGCCTGGACCCCACTCCACCAATCCCCTATAATGCTGAGCTTGGCCTGAGTATTCGTTTTGCCGACGGCATCGCCCTCCCGACGACAGACAAGAAAGATTTGGAGGCCGACCCGCGGAACATCTCTGCACCTCTGTCGGTCTCGGAGTGCCAAGCAATCATGGACAGTCTTGAAGTTGAGGAAGATGGCGAGGGCCCATCCATCGCCGAGAGCGTCAGAGCCGCCACAAAGGCTGCATCGACCCAGAAGCGCCAGAAGGATGCCAGAGTAGTGGCCGCCGATGAGAAGCTGGCCGCTTACCGGACTACTATCAAGTCCCTCCGTGCCTCGCCGTCCGCCGTACGATCGTATTTTATCTGGAAGGACAACAACGACCTCACACCTGAGGCCATCGCCAAGGTCCTCCGAGACCCGCCGCTGCAGACGAATACGGTGGTGAGCTACATTCTGGAGGCTCTCAAGTTGGAGAAGCTGCCGTTCGACAAGAAGCGGCTGCGAAACGAGATCCTGCACACGCTGCCGAAGGAGGTTCTGCAGGGCAGGTATAAGGCTTTGATGCTGGAGGCTCAGAAGCCCGATGCTGGGGATGCTTCCTCGGTTGCGTGAAATGAGCTCAGCTCCGTATATGAAGAGGGTGGCATGGCGAGTCCACGAACCAAGAGAAATACGCTGTTTAGTTTAGCATTGGATTCATGCATAATAGAGATACCCGCATTGGTTACATTCACCTCCAACAGCCCGTAAAAAAGTCATAAAGGATGCAAGTGGACGCGTCAACTCTTTGCCAATTGCCGAGCCGCACGTCAGCCACAGCCGCCCCTGCATGTTTCGAAACATGAATACGGTAGTCTTCTTGATTGGTGCTCTTGCTTTGTGTTCATGATGTCGTCCATGGTGTATTCCACTGTACAACACGCACCTGCCCTTGATGAACCCCCATTCGATCCCAGGGCCCCCCTTCCCTCATAGGCACCAAAGGAGGGACAACCTATCAACAAGCAGCGTCCGTTGTAGTCGATGACCGAGCGGTACGATTCTTCGTATGTTGGCTCACGGTCCTACATAATGCCATGGATAGCTTGTTTTTTGTTTTGCGCGCTGAGGTCACAGGTGCGAGTTGGGTTTTATCGATTTTATATATATATATATATATATATATATTTTTTACTTATTTTTTTTTTGAACTGCGAATGCCTCTTCTCGTTATCTTCTTGGGTTCGACTTTTCAGGCCTAGGATGCATGTCAGTAAGCTTGTTCCGGCGGTGGCACACCACAGGAGTCGCGTTGTTTTCTGCTATTGCCTTGTTGTCGTGACTGGAGGTTACACGACATGGAGATCTACCCCGTTGTCGTTACGACGTTGGACGTGTGCATTGAGGGGGGCAAATGTCCATGTTACGAATTGTATATAAATTATTGGTCAAGAGATCTGCGCCGAAAGTGATGAGGTAGACACAGAGAAACAGATACTGAAGCCACACCGGCTTCCACATTCGGGTGTATATCTAGGTCCATCCTATGACAGCCCTGGTGGTCTACTCGACCGGGAGGCGATATTCGGAAGCAGGAGAGGGCACGGTACCACATCACACCCGGCAGATGAATGGGCGTTGGACGATCTCTCTCTCTCTCTCTCGTCACAGCCACAATCTGCGCGGCGCGATCATACGTCGTTGGCATTATCTGTGGCTGTCAGGCCATGCTTTGAGGCATTGAGGCGTTGCGTCCTCGCCCTCTTCCTCCTTGCCACATTCTCGGTTCACCTTCTAAGATTATATGTATATATAGAACAAAGAACATGTTTGGCCGAGTTCAGATCGTCGTAGATATTTGTGGAGAAGTACATTTGAGATGCAGCATACAAGTGGTACGAGATGAACTACACGTTTGGTGGCGAACGGGCTGGCGTATAATGAGAACATGGGAGATGCTAGTTACTACTTGGCCTTGAAAGTATGATTTGCTACTCACATACAATAGCACCACCTGCGCAAGTATCCTGTTACGGATCAAACATATCTTTGACTGCTCGTCTGCTGAGGCCCGTGGCAGGTAACAAAAACAATATCAGCATCAAACACTGCGACGGTTACCATTGGGAGAGAAAGTAGACATAATGGATTCTAGAGATCATGTAGCAGCGAATGCGAGGTAATGATCCTATTAGTAGTGTAGATACGTTCAGACGAGTAGGTATTCCTGTCCAGTTATCCTCGCAAGTATGACGATGAAGGGTAGGTGACTTGAGCCCCCAGCCAGTATTGCTCAGAAGTCTTCGGGGCTGGTCACGAATAGGATCCGAGGTTGAAAATTGCTCGGAATGGCCGAGCGAACAGGCCTCGCAGCTTTGCAGGAAGGAAACAAGTTCGACATCATCCCGAATTCGTCGCAGCTTGCGAACGGCCTTTCAAGCAGATCATCCGATCATGGCCCGCCTGATATCTTCTGCTTATTGACGTCTTTGCCTCGCCGTCCGAAGTTTGGCATTATAGGGCTGTCTCTACATTGGAGAACTCCCCACAAACTCTAGAACCGGAAAATGCTCGGTCCTCGCTCAAGTCGTGAGGTGACGTCTGGGTGTTCTTTTTCGAGCGCTCGGCCTGTTTTGGCGGTTCTTTTCCCTTGCGGCTCCTCTCTCTTTCATGCATTGCTAACATACTTCTGACCTGAGACCTTCGTTCGTGTGATCAGATTGCGAGACCAATCCGTTTCTCCTTCCTTTCTTACCTATGTTTGAGCAGCGGCGTGCGGACTTCGCCGGATATTGTTGCAGGCTGCTCTAACCTCCGGCTCGGTGACCTCGGATTGTATACACTACACAAGGGATGTAGTCAACTGTGGGATGAAGAGTGAACGAGTATACCTTGGAAGTCCATTCGTTTGATACAAACCGGACTGTGAGGCTCGAGCATCGCTGAACTATATGGAACTGGAGATGAGGCATCGGGCTGAACAGAGAATGTTCCTCGGCCTAGTCCTACTAAGTTGGCATGCACAATATGCCATTTCTCATCCGTGCCGGCTTCGAGGCTTGTTTCTGTTGTGTCTAGTTGCTTCTGATCCTAGGCCAAGCGTAGACAGGAGCAGTCTTGGCCGCATCCGAAGCCGTCCACGATCCCACTTGTGGATGCTGCCAACCGATCGGCTCATGGTGCTTGAAAGCTTATCGAGATAGCTGTGGAGAGCCAAGGGACCAAGCATGCCCTTCAGCTTAGTGACCAAGTCTGATATCTAGACTTCCACTCGAAACCAATGGCAATCAGAAGAGCAAATGAGCAGTGGCAAGATGTGGGGCACAATGAAGCTTAAGCCACACCCAATTTGCACCACATGCCCTGAATATTCTCGAAATTTCGACGAGAATCATTGTGAAAGGGTCTTTGATGTCCGTGGGGTGGTCTTTCGCCCTGTAATTTGACGTCAAGGTCTCCTGCATAGTCCAGAAGACTGTCAACGATGCAACGGCCTACAAG